AGAAATTACAGAAGAAAAGATACTCGAATACGATAGGCTATTTTTGGTGATATTTTTTGTTCAGATTTCACAATACGGTACCATCTGTACGTGACAGTTTATGTGGTGCAGGTATCAATTCTGAATGTGCCTGAGCTTAATGTTTCCTTTCAAAAGGTTCAGTACTTTATCATGAACCTTGCTTTAGAATCTGTCCTGAAAGGAAGAAATTCCTCAAAAACAATTCACTTAAGGTCGAAAAAAAAGATTAACATTCTCTTGACATGTATTTCATGTATAAACTAGTTTGAAACTAGTGCTGTTGGAAACTAGTGTTATTATTTAGAACCGGCTACTTGAGTAATATCCGTTTATCCGGGTATTCGAAATATAATAATAACATACATTCTGTATTGCATTGCTAATACAAAATTATCGTATTGCATATAATCGTAATTATCATAATATAATTGTAATATAATTGTATTACATATAAAAAATAAATTATAAATTTTTATAATGTTATCTTCTACATGTAATACGATTATATGCGAGAATTTTGTATTAGTTATGCAATTACAATGTAATACATATGTGTAATTATATTTTAAATACCCGGGTACTCAGGTATTATCTCGGATATTGATAGTAGTTGAAACTAAGAAACGAAAAATTTTTAGCAGCGTGAATGAGCTGAGGAAAGAATTGTAGAGGCTCTGAACAAAGTGAAGAATAGAGTTTCTAGATGCATATAGGAAAAACACTGGAACAAATGTATTTTAAAAGGAATATTTTAAAAGCGATTAAGGTAGAATTGCTATAACTTTTGAAATAAAATCTTTTTTAATAACAATTTTACGACTTTTTGAATCTTGCAATGAGTGAAGGAAGCTGCAATATCGTAGTTAATGGGTATAATTGTTTGTTCGCGTTATTTAATTAATGAACAATATGTATGTACATATATATATCGCAATATATTGTATATGCAATGACATACATACATACAATGCAGTTACATAATTCAATACTGCGCTCGAATGTGTAACGCGATGACTACTATCAACACTTGCGTCAGTGACACCTGCGCAAGCACGACGAACGAGCGAGGAAAATTGCTTTATATTGTCCACGATAAAAACGCGATACGTGCGAGTTCAGACACAATTATGGGCGCCACAAATTACTAGGTTATCTTGCTTGTCCTACATTTTCAGTCGATATAGAAACTAGCTGAGTTTTTTGAGGTAAATTTTTTATTTATACAAACAATTGATATTAATATTAACCATAAATTTTAGAATAAAACATAGACGTGAATGTGCTATAGAACAAGTATGAATAAATGTAAAATGGTGATTTTACGTCTTGTATAAGTAAAAAATTTTAATTAAAAATACGTGAGTTTTTGGAGGACAGCAACGGCATGCATTGTCAAGGTAATAATTATTGCTTATCAAGACAAGTGGTTTTAAAGTAACAAAACAGATAGCGCATTAATTACAGCTGTGTTTCTTCACAATAAGCAAAAGCGAAGCGCAAAAATGTTATGTCGACACGAGCATTCATTCCTGCAAAAAAAAATTTTGCGACACAATTGATTGCTTTGTACACCGGCTGTGCAATTTTAAAATCTAGATCGATTGCTCGGTGCATTGCAAATATTCGCTATATTCGCGCTTCCTCGTGTTGTTGTTTTATCATTTGCTTCCGCGTAATCAATCTCGCGACACTCATTCCGCCGACAAATCGCGCGGAGCCGTGGTTTTTAACGAGAACGAAGCCGGCTAAGCGAGAAATCAATATTTTTGCTGGCGCGGCCATTCGTGACAATTGTCATTAATTAAAATGTTTATCATCAACACATTCTTCATAATTATTAAAACGCACACATGTTTCCCTAATGTTAAAATGAAAATTCCTTTTTTAATTAACTGAAGTTTCTAGCTATACTCGTACACGCATGTAGACTGTGTCTACGTGCCGTTCGCGGAGGTTTCCGCTGATTTTCTTTTACTGACGCCCGTTAGCTTAAACGACTCTATTGACTAGACGTATTTGCGCACTGATGGTGAGCTGTCCGCCGCCTGACGTAATTCTCGTCAAAGGGGATTGACCCCCCAAATATGATGAGACAACATTGACATGCATGCGCCGATTCGTCTGTCAATTTCTATCACTTGTTCTTGAAGTCGTAACCGGACTGTCATATTCATGCATATTAATAACTCTTTATTATGCAAAAATAAGAAAATATATCCCTTTGAAAATCAGTTTCAATAACTGCTATGCGAATAGCACGATTTTTTTACGCATGTGTTTACATAAAATTTTATGCCGTTCCACAAATGCAATTAAATAACACAGAAAAGATGTATGCGCATAATAAAACGTTAAAGAAACTTTTAATTGGGTTGGAAATAACAACATTTGCATATACTTATGTATATTCATTCACACTTCGATTCACGCCGATTATATTTTTAAATAAATCCGAGAGTTATGTAAGTTATGTTCCATAGATAATAACATGGTGTAAAAAAATCAACTATCAATTACTCAATAAAGTAAATAACAAACACTGTCAGTGACAAACGTTCCAAAATGGTTACTAGACCGATCTGTGGATCGTATGGAAAGTAGATCCGCGATGAATATGCGATAAGATTGTTCACGAGTGTGAGGATCATTAATAATTAGTAAACGAAAGTGTCATTATCTGCTTAACGAGGATATATAATAGATAGAAGTGTATAGTTATTCTGAATAATAGGTCAAATTTGATAAACATTTTTATGGAGTTGATCAGGATTTAACCGTAACATTTCCAAGCTTTTCCACTGGCAAAACAAGTTTATCTTTAAAAATATAATGCAACAATAATGAATAATATCAGATTATTTCTGGAAACATTAAACAGTTTAGGAAATTTTTAAGAGAATAGAAAACATCATTTAATTCAGATTTACATCGCTCCGGAAATATAATTCTACACAAGATTCAAGTGTGGCGTATTAACGGCTAAATATACATAATTCTTGAGACAATTGAGTGGCTCTTTGTAAAAGACGTGCGCCTATTCACTAGAAACGATATTTGTACAGCTGTGCAAACTGGCGCTAATGCCTTACTGCCCAAATACAATACTATTTCCCAACGTCGCGATACCATACGCGACAAATGTCGAATGAACTTTTGTCAGGTAGCGGTAATTTTTTCCTCGCGTTTGTGAGAAGCTACCGAACTGTGACTGTACACATGTAATGTACGGATGCGGTTCTGGAATATAATAATTCCCGCTGTCTCTCGTCCCGCGTTGTTGCGCAAATCCACCGCAGAAAAAGAGCCACGACAATCGAGACAGCGTGAAATTAACTCGGGAGACGACCGTAGTTACCGCGATCGACGATTGAATTTATTCCCAACGGGATCGAACGGGTATATAACGTCGGCCTTCTAGGAAATGATAAAAATACCGGTTGCGGCTTTGTCGCCGCCTCGGGGACTTGCGAAATTACTCGGCGAACATGTGAAGCGACGGGCGGGCGATAAGAGGAACAATAACTAATAATAAGTACACGTCCGGCGCGCGGAGCGTAAAATGCAGCGGCTGCATGCGGCTTGGCGCGCGAAATGCATCGCGCGAATTGGTATTTATTGACGGCGTGAAACACTCACCGAGACGTAATAGCGATAGAAACGCGATGTAATTTCGTTAATAAAGGCTTGATTTGTCGATAATTCAATGTGCAAAAGAAATTCTGGGGCGAAAGAGCTATCGCGGCCGTGTCCTATTTTCTCTGTCAATCGAAGATAAGAGTGCGTATTGCGGCGATGAAAAGCGCATATGCAAAACCATTGTTACTATCGCATCGAGCGATGAAAAATAGCTTCCATCGCATTCGCAGGACGTTAGAGGGCCGCGGAGAATAGACACACGGTATTTATCAATAGATGAATTATCGACGTTGTGAAACGTTCGACGTATGACGTTCGTTCAAGGTGGTGCTATCATATAAATAAGTCGGTTTCCTCGTATCCTTAAGCTTAATTAACACAAGTCGCTCGGTATAGCACGACGATAATAGTAGTGCGCAAAATACACAATGGTAACGCGCAAAATCAACCTATTATATATTGTTCAAGTGACTCATAGATTATCATGCATTTCCTCGAAACTAGAGATGTTAATTAAGAAATAAATGGCGTCTGATCGAAGAACATGACGTTAATTTCGATTTTACACGTTGAAAGTTATTTTACGATAAAAGTTTATTTTTGTAGAGTTTTTTTTATCTTTTAATTAATTTATATTTTAACTAAAGTTTGATAATTTTTACATAGATATTTAAAAGTTATGAATAAATAGCATTCCAACGTTAAATTATCGTAGCTGTTATCACCGAGAAACGTAAGAAGCATTTTTTAGTGACATCTAGTCAATAAATTTGATAAGCGATACGTGTGCAAGCATTCCTTTTGCATTTTACGTAAAAAAAAGAAAGAGTACAAGCTTCTGGTAATAGCATTGTAAAGTAAATATCTCTCGCAAATACCGACATTAATTGTATCCAGAGTATTATTACACACGAGCAGACATTATTTCGAATACTGGAAAACATATTCATCGCGCGGAAAATATATACATTTTGATGCGTCAGTAAATTCGCGGCGGTATTGCGAACCGTTGACTATGCGCCTGGATTTGATACAAATATTTGAATGCCAGTACACAATGCGGAGAATTGCTCTCAAAAGGAACGTAGGCGTCCCTACGATTCCAACAGTTTGAGCTTCCCTTCATTCGCGATCGTAGACGAGAAATTTCTCGGGAATGTACATGTCATAGAGGAGCAACAGATTTACGATCGTGAGGAAATGGCGGAGGCATTAGTATACCGGGTGGTCATAAAGAATTTTTGGAAATGTTGCATATTATTATAAAATTTTCCATACATTTTTTAGTTAACAATTTCGCGGTTTTTTTAAAGAATCAACTTGCATAAAGTTTGTGCACTCACCGGTTCGGCGAAATAGGATTCCCATAAATCTTTAAGATCGCTTGAAGTCGCTGCGTCGTAGAATGCCATATTTTGTTTCCTTTCGTTATCTTCCCAAATAGTGCAGGCGTCGTCGATTAGAGAGACATGGTATTCGTCCATGAAGGACAAGAGAAATTAATGTGCCGACATGCTGTCGCCACAAGCATTCAGCATCCTTCGATAATCTCGAAAGTCTGTTGATACCTAAAATCAAGATAATACAATCTTATCTGCAGGTCAACTTTCATCGGTTCTGGATCCTCAAAATATTTTTCTCTATTGATATTCTTTATTTAAGCTATTAAAGCATGTATATATATATAAATGCAAGGAATGTTAAATTGATTTTGCAAAATTGCAAATATTGAGAGAAAAGGACTAATAAGAGCCGAATAGTTACAATGCATCAACTTTAACTTTTATTAGCGTTTATTATTGATTTTACATTTAGAGCCGTATTCTTCTTCGTTGCAAATATTATGAATTATTTACTCTTTATTAGCGTGACGTAACGAGAGATCTGCAAATGTACGTACAGTTACTGTTTAATTAGATTAAACGAGACGCGAGATCCAGGCGGATCTCTCTTGGATTTCTGGGGACTAAAATAGAACTATACATCGTTTGTGGAAAATAGAAGAAAATAAATTTAGCGTTGCATCCGTAATCTAGTTCAAATTAGATCAAGGGAAACGGGAAATAAAAAGACTGAGAGAAATATAACAAATGTAACAAATGTTTTCAAAAATAAGTGAATGAATAAAGTAAAAAAAAAAAAAAAATTTTTACGGCTAGTGAGTGAAGATAATATAAGCCGAAGTTTCGCTAAGATAAGACGCGCGAAAGGTTTATGTAAGTGTTATTAAAGTATTCAACCGGACATTGCTGATCTGTTAGAAGGATATCGATAAACGAGCGCGACTTATAGATTAATAATGTATGCACGTGCATATCCGTGACCTCAGTGCCGCGTGCTGTATCGCGCGTGGCATTATCTACCGCGGCCGATTTTGCATTTAATGCCTTTTGTCCTACATTATGGGATGATGCATCGCCGCGGCGTGTTCTAACGAGTTCAATGGACCTGTCTTTAATGCACTAAGTATACCATCCGTGAAAGAGAGGAGGGGGGAATGCTCCAACACAGTAGTGCAAACGCCGTTGCGTATGAAATTGCGGTCAAAATTGTGAAGAAAAAGTATGATACATATGTGTTAAAGCCATTTTATCATAGTAAATTATCATTTTACTGATAAATTTTAGATAAGGAATATCAATCAAATATTATCTTGGAGTGTGTCTTTGAAAAAATAGTTTAATCAAACTACTTTTCACACGCGTAACAAGTACAAATGTACCGGTCACAGTTGAAAAAATTTATTCGAGTGTGTCGAGAATTTTAATCAGTTTTCATCGTTTTTAAAGGAAAAAAATTTAACTCATTAAATTGCGTGTTCCATAAATATGTATGTGATATATATCTCTGCTCAAAATCTGATTTCTTATCTGCGATTAAAATATTTCACGCTCGCATTAATATTTTTTTTATAAAAATATTCACGTGTAAATAACGAATGAGATGTGATTTTACACGAACAGCGTAATATTCGCGTTGAAAAGTAATGCTATATGACATCACCGATGCTGCGATTAAATGCATTGATCACCGATCGTGCTGTAAAATATAATCACAAGGATAATCACGAAAGGGTATTGAATTTGATCCTTCATCAAGCAGTGCTATTTATTCCCTTATTAACGCATGTGCCATTTCCAATGAAACAGTTATATCCTAAAATGCTAATTATATTCAACATGATGCAGATACAGTTATTCTGCTCTCTCTTTGAGCGCGCACATTATTTGAAAGTTGTTCCAAAAATAAAACTTACTAATGAGATAACAGACACGTGTAATGTAGCTTTTATTGGACTACATACATTCATAGTAAATCTGTACAATACGGAGATTTCATACAATCATTCATGTTTTTGTAGCGATAGCGTAATAATCCATTACTTAATATTTGCGTCATCTTGTGTCTCGCACTTTGTACACCATGATATCATCGTGAAGGTATTTTGTAAATTTATTAATTTTCGAACGTATCAATTCCGCTGCTTCTATGAATAGATCGTCGCCGGAAGATACACATTGATAAGCTATATCAATCACTATGTGTCTTTCGATTCTATTTTTCAATCTTCAAAACTTCCTCATTTTACAACGCGATATCTTCTCTTTTACTTTTCTGCTATTTTATATTTTTTTAAATGTGACTCATTCGTGTAAATGTCATATTCACGTAATCGTCTGGCACGACTCGATCGATCTTTCCACGCACGTAATCGCAGTTTTTATTAATCGAAACTGGTCTCTGAAGAGAGAACAAAAAGGATATGCGAACGCGAGTGTAGCTCGCGTTTTTTTATCAGTCGCAATTCGTGTAACAACACCGATCACATGAAACGCCCTTATCGCCAGCAATACAAAAGCAATGCGTCAAACTTATAAATACGATTTTACTAGTGAGCTGTTTTTGTGACGGAATGATTTAAAGGTACGAAAAAGTTTCGCTTTACCTTTGGCCTGCGTGGATTCGAGAAGAAATCGCGCAATAAAATATTAAACGCAAAACGCAACGAATAGTTTTATCACTTTCGTTTATAAGTATCGCTACGCCATACTTTACATAATTTCGCGATTAATTTTCGAAATCTATTTCGAAACGTCCCGAGAGCTTCGTCAACAGAAAATTTCACATTCTACATGTGACATATCATTAGCCTGGATCGCGTTTGAAAATCTCTCGGGAGCTCATCTTTCTGTCTTCTCGAATAGCCGCATGCTCGGCAATATGCGAGGCTGGCTCTGCTTGAAATGATAAATCCGGTCGTTGCAAACGGAGCGCACCAGATGGAACGTAGCGTCGGCTCGGCGCGTACACGTGCAGCGAGCTGCATCGTCGTCGGAGCGCGCCGCGACGTCGAATAGCGGTATCAGCGCGATTTTATACTTAATAAAAATAAAGTAGAAAAGCGGGGAAGATTGCGTGATGCAACCGTTACTCACCGATCGGCCGGACGAGGAGGAATGAGAGTTCTCTGGCTGTCCTCCGATGTGAGAAATCACAGATTAATTCTCATATAGTTATTATTAAGGCACAACACTAATGAACGCGATTGGCGAGCGCGTACGATGCACCGACGACGACGTAAACGGCAATGAACGCGCAAGAAAGCAGGACAGCCGGGATCGATAGCCAACACCCGCGCACCTACGAGTTCGCGGAATCACCAATGGCGCATGGTTGATTTTTCGCAATCACGCACGCACGCACGCACGCATGGATGAATACCGCGTCGCGATACACGCAGTTATCGATCTCCGCACGGATTAGCGCGAACGACGAAAACAGACGGATCGATGAATCGATCTGTCGATGGTGAACGAACGCACTGGAATAAGGGTGTCGTCCCGAGCGGATGTGCGCACTTCAGCGTTCTCCGCGTGAATGCGGGACCGGCGGCGGTTCCACACGTGCTGGCGTCGCTGAGGCTCTCTTCAATCGCTCTGTTCGACCAATCGCAATGAACCACCTGTTACCAGCGTACTGACTATCGGTTGTCCGTAGAGCGGCAAGCGCTGCGCGCGCAGTTTTATTAATGGCAACGCGCGACATCGAGCGGATTTTTAAAAGTGCGAGCTACAGCGTGGAACCGCCCCGGTTTCGAAAAATACCTATTGCGAAAGGAAAATGGGAAGCGAGATCGGTCGACAGTTGGATTTTTTGCAAAATAGTGCTGAGATGCGTGGTAAATTTTGATTCGAGAAAAGAAATTAATTTACTTTTGATTAATAAGTTCATTGCTAATTTGAATTGTGCTTGGATTATGTGCCTCTCGCTTCCAAAATTTCTTTGACCCTTTTGAAGCGTTCAGTACAAAAGAATGAATCATTTGCGCTCCAATTTGTAAAGTGGAGTCGAATACAGCAGTATGATGGCAGTTCTCGATAATAATAGTTTATAGGGGCTAATAGACCTAACGGTATGCGGGTGTAGAAAGCAATGCGGGCAATCGATGCACGCACACACAGAGCCGAGCGCATTGGAGTGTTGCATTTCATTCTCATGAAGTGGTGAAAACGTTCAAATTCTTACAGCAGACCAGTTCGCTTACTCATACCGTGTGGACTTTGTCTTTTATCGTTTTCTCTTGCCGATATGCAGGACGCACTTGTCGCTATCGTATCTTCTTTTCAATAGATTTATCAATTTATTTAGCATGTATGACTTGTTTCCCCGTAATCTTCTAATTTTCTACGTTAAACATTTAAATAATTAATCTTTTAGTTGAGCTTATATTACAATAAAGGCTATTCAGTATTGTATCATATATGATATCATCAGCATAATTTATGGAAATCCATTTTTAATTACTTTAATTTAAAAATTCTATTAACGTCGCCATATTTTCATCAAAGGGGAATTAATTGCGGAAAAGGGGCCAAGTTCGACGCAAATTCAAGAATGTGCTCTATATAACTATAGATACCTTGTACAACTTTGTTGCAACCTTCAGTATGCATTTCAATTTGCGTATTTGGCACTGGACCCACCAAAACACGCTCTCTATAGATCTAGATTTGTCTGACGAAACATTCTCGCTTATTGTAAACAAAGGATCGAAAATCTGCATAGTCATTATCGCATCTAGTCCAACGAATGTGCAATACGAATAAAAGATACTTGATGCAAGAAAACCAGATGGTTTCCAGATGCGAGGCGTCATCGAATTTCTATATCTACCGTTAATTATATCAATTTGCAACGCATATCGCCGTGCGCAATTTGCAGCCGAGAGCGCGAAGCACACGCGGGGTCCCCCGTGTCTGGTGTCGCCGGATATTCAATTAGCGAAAAGAGGTCTTACCTCCTCCTCCATCGTCCTTGTTAGGAAAGCACTTTGATGACGCTGCCAGATGCGTTCCTGCGTCGTAGGCGGAGCGACAGAAATTGTCCGGATCGCGCCGCGCTGAATAAAATTACGGCGCACATTGTTGCGTGTTGTACAATGGAGCGGTATTTAGTCCTGCGGTCTGTTTGCCATCGTCTTACCTACATCACGGTCATCGCTATCGATTTTGCAATTATCCCGCAGTACCGCAGCGGCATCCGTGCATCGATACGCGCACGTCCTACGTAATCATTTGTACTCTATTAATATCCGAACGATACTACGGAAATATCCCGCGTGTCATAGATTTTAACGCGTGTCGGCGTCGTGTTTGTATCGTGTCCGCTTATAGGCATCCATATGCAAAAACAGTGCGCCATAATGGATGCCGTGGCTATTTTTAGCACGCGCTATTTGCGACGACTACAAAGTGACGGATGGATCTGGTTGATTTTTCAAAATAAAGTTTTTATTGGGTCTCTTTTTTGCTCTTATATCATATTAATATCATTGAATCTCCACACCAGTAGAAAACTATTTACCAATTACACGCTTTCCTGCGATAAAATTCTATATGCATGTAAGTGTGTGTGTCTTTTTTTTTTCCTTTTCTTCAGTATATCAGGTACAATACAAGGCTGAACAAAATATGACCATACGATTTTGTTCGAATGAAAATCCTCCCCTCGATACATCGTTAGATTTGAAATCGTATGCCTGCTCCTCGCTCGTGTAGTACCTCTCTGATGTATACAAAGTAACTTATAAGTCATATATATATATATATACATATATAATGTGTGTGTATTTTGTAAAATACGTTCTAATTTCAGTATTTCCTTCGTTATAGCAAAATAAACTCTCATTTAATATACAATATCTCCGTGTACCGACGTAAAGCAAGCCAAACGTTGCACTTTTAACGCGCGTTACAGCGGCGTACAATTAGTAGTATCGCTTGCCCGTGGACAGTTCAGCCTGGGGACGATTAAATTGCGCAAAGATATAGATATCTGACGTAGAGACGCTATCGACAGAACGTCTCTCGATAAAATATCAAATTAACGAGTAACAATAAGCCTCAAGGGCGCCATTAACCCCGTATTATGACAATTAAGGCAAATAAGT